GTAGGGAAACAAGACTGAAGACTTGCCGGAGCATTTATTATGCGCAATACGGTTGAATAAAATTGACTACAACAACTTCAACCACATTGGCATTTAAGTTTAAAGCTTCAACATAAAGAATTTTAACCTCAAATATATTGCATAACGATTAAATCTGTGATCTGTCATTCAAGTTGTTTTTAAGAGAGATTCTGTAGCTAACCGCGATGGATCTTTAAATTTCATGATTCATTGATATAAAAGTTGTAGAATGTACAGTAGAATAATCAGATTGGAAATCATCAGAGTAATTTATCTTTCTCAAAGATACAAGCAGTCCCTGTAGCCTTGTTAATCGTTATCACTTTTGAATTCAGATCACTGCTCATATTTCCCAAGTTGCAAGATTACATGAACATCATGGCAAAATACTGATTAAATCATTAATTTTATCCTTGATGTTTTGCTTTCATGTATTATCTTCTCTCCCAAGTGGCTTTCCAAGTAATAAAAAATGTTTTAGTAGTTCAAGAAGTATTAAAAGTATACTAAGTAGTCTCTTAAATATTAAATAAAATTTCAAATAATTCCATGAGTTTTATTGAAATATATCAATTTGGAGACTGAAGTGATAAATATTTAATACTCAAGGAATTATTCAAATAGTTTTAATACTTTAGGGATTATTTAGGAGAGTAATAATTTGATGATGAAATTAGTAGTTTATTCAAAAACAAGGTATATACATCATTATTTCTCTCAAATGTTTAAAAAAGATAAATTATCATATTTTCTCTGAATAATCATCCACAATTATCTAATATTTTATTTGTATAACTATTAAATGCCTTAAATGTCTCGACTCTTGTAGTATTTATAAAACACAATACAATGCCACATCATTAACAAATAACATTAAAAAAAATGGGATAAGTACTACTAAGCAGTTATAACTGTTTTCCTATACGTCAAAAGTTGTAAATTTATATTTATATGTCATTAAACAAAGTCCTAATAATAATTGGGTTTCATTGTAATCCTCTTGGTCCGTGGGACTGGGCTGTGTTGCTATCTTCAATCAATTCAACCCGTTTGGTTTTTTGTACATCTTAGATTGTGTTATATAATTACATAACTCATAAATTGTGATAGGGATGAGATGAGAAAATTTATAAGAAAAAAAAATCCCCTAATTTCAAGGTCCCAAAGTCACATTTCAAATTCTCATTATTCTACAATCCTTATTCTCATTCACATTTTAACCCCTCTTATCCTTTCGCATTCTGTGTTTTTAATTTTTTTATTTAATTTATATTTTTAATTTCTCATTCACATTTATATTTTTATTTAACTTTTAATTATAAACTAACTGAATGAATTGACTTTAGAAATCAACAATGGCTAACCAATCTAACCCATTTTACATCGGTGAATACATTCATTTTTTAAGTCTAAACTACAGGCATTTTCTATAAAAGATAATTTTGTTTGAGCTAGAATTTTACACACTGGAAGAGTTAATTATCTATGTGAAATTTATTTTATGCATAAGGCTTATACCTTACTTTAGAAAAAAAATATTTGAGTTCAAGTCTTGTAAATAAATAAAAAATGTGATTAAGAGAATAAACTTTAATACAATAGTCAGTTATATTTTTTTAAGAAAAGCAGTCATTAGCAAAACTTTTTTTTTTAACCAATGACATGATTAAAAAACATATCACTTTAATTGATCACTTCTTAGTTAGATATTATTACTCTAATCTCAACCTCAATTGTTAATCATTACCTAAATTCAATAAAAAAAATTCTGATAAATAAATTTGTACATTATTCATAATAGAATTCATGAATAATTGGTTGACTTTTAATCTTTCTTCATTCTCTTGCATTTATCTTTTTATTTACTACTCAAACTCCATTTTCTTTTCACTTTGCCATTATCCTTATTTTATGATGAATAATGTTAATAACATTTTTTTTTATTAATCAACAAGATCCAACACAATTTTCATAAAATTATGTATACGAAAATTATGTCTCTCTTAAAGAGGGTGTTTTGCAAAACTAAAAAAGGTGTACCTTTTTTATGTTCTAAAGGAGATCCTTGCTACATTAAAAAAAAAAAAAAAAAAAAA